AATATAAATCTAGTGATGGTACCATGTTTTAGTTTCTCTGTGGTTTATGTACAAGAGTGGGATTGACAGAGAAAAGGGTATATACCTTCCATACTTGAACTGACCATCACAGATTCCTCTTCAGAATAGCTGTACTAATCTATACGCCTGCCTGTAGCAGCTAAGAGTTCATATTTCCTTACAGCCCTCTTTCCAGAATTTGGTTTTATCTCATTTTCTAATATTTAGAAAAATGATGGGTATAAAATAGTATTTTATGTTTCAAGTAGTATTTTTCCAATTACTGATGAAATTAAGCATCTCCTTACATGTTAGCCATTCCACTCTTATAATCACTGTTAAGAGTTTCTTATATGACCTTTAAGATATAGGTTAAGCATTTACCAGCATATTTCCATATCTATTTTTAAAAAATAAATGTACTTATCAGTGTACATTTGCCCTTTAAGTGCTGCTCTATCTGGGTCCTTCAGATTTTGACCCGTATTGTTTCTATTATCATTCAGTATTTTATATTTTAGGATTCTCTTTAACCTTAACACAACGAAGTAGTATGTTTTTTGTTTCTAGTCATGCAAGATTTTTTTCATAAAGTTAATATTTTGTTATTGATTTTATTAGTGTAATTAATTAGAGAACATAACCTGGACATATTCATTCTTTCGAATTTATGGGGACTCTATTTGTGATGAGATACCTAGTAGATTTTTGTCACTATCTTTTTTTTTTTTTTTTAAGTATCTCTGCACCCAAATGGGGCTTGAACTCATGACCCCAAGATCAAGAGTCACATGCTTTACCAACTATGCCAGCCAACCACCCCTTTATGACTGTCTTGTGTATACTTGAAACTTAATGCATTCTCTGTTGAATTGTTCCCTGTGACGTTCATTACTTTTGTCTGCTTGAACTAGGAGTTACTTTTTGGGTGTTTCAGAAGAGCCAACTACAGTTATTACTGATTCTTACCATAGTCCTGTCAGTTGTTGCGTGTGTTTTGAAACTGTGAGATATGTAATGAGGGAGTGTGTGGCAAGCTGAGGGCAAAATGCAGGCTAAAGCACCCCCTCTCCTACCTCAGGTGGAGTATGCGTGATATTCTGTGGACACTCCTGGCTACCCAAGAACAAAGGAAAGGGGTTAAAGGGCTTGCCTTGGTAATGTGGGAAGCAAAGGCAAATGAAAAATTAAATTCCATGCTGCCTGCAGCCCATTGACAAGTCCTTGAAACCAGCAGAGTGACCTCCGTTTAGGATCCCAGCTGCCTTAAGGATGACATTTTTGCTAGGGGCAAAAGAGAATCTTAGCTTAACCTTATCTCAACCTCCAGGATCCTGTAAATCTACTTCCTTTATCTCAAGTGCCCCAAGATATATGCTGGCAATCATACTCCAAGCTTAATGCCCACCCCCCATACATCTGAAAGGTCTCATGACTACGGTTTTACTAAATGGTAATAAATGGCATTTCCCTAGCAACAGCTGGCCTCTCAAGGTCCTGGAAACCTTGCTTCCACAATACCTTAGGTACTTACTCTATACCCGACCCCCTCCCAACTTGAGGGTATATAATCATATAATCAGTAACCCATCACAACCACAGTGCAGCTCTTCTGCCCCATGGGTCCTGTCCCCATGCTTTAATAAAATCACCTTTTTGCACCAAAGATGTCCTCAAGAATTTCTTGGCTGTTGGCTCCAGACCACCCCACCATCACCCCAAAACTTCATCAATATGTATACTTCATTATTAGTATATATGATTGCTCTTCATTTGCAGATTCCGTTTTGCATACATGCCTCCCTGCTAAAATTTATTTGTAGTCCCAAAATCAATACACATAGTGATTTTGAGGTTCTAGTACCTTTCATCAGGAGCTAGGAAATACATATAAGCATACTAAGCTGCACATATACCCACATTTTTATCTGTTTCTTTATCTATCTGTATATACCCTTAGAAAGGTGAGTTTTGATTTCAGTCCAAATTCACAAGATTCAGCCTAACCTTACCTCTTTCCTACTCTCATGATTTATAATATATTCACTTGTCTGTTCAATTCTAGTATACTCACAAAGTAGGTATATAGCAGCCAAATCATGCTTTGAAAACAGATTCACTAACTAGAGATACAGTATTTGTGTATATTTCTTTGTGTCTTTGCCTTGCAGTATGCAGTCAAAATGCTGTTTTCCAAAGTTACTTGGGTTCTTTTTTCCGCATATCCTCCTTTGTTGCTTTGTTTTTCATTTATAATACAATTAGGTTTATTACTTGTTTGCATTCTATTTTGGGTTTCTTTCACATGCTGGTTGATTACCTGTTTTGCAGAGGCACATGTAGAACATTACTGTTGTTGTAGAAAATCAAAGCTATCCAAAAAGGTATGCTTTGAGAAGTGTTGCACCCTGCTCATCCCCCTTAAAGTGTTCTCAGTGCTCCCTTCTTTCCACCCCTTTTCTCTGTGCGCTTTGTAGGTAACTGATGTCTCTCTCTAGTTTCTGATTTATACTTCCTGTATTTCTTCTGCACAAATGAGTAAATACATGTGGATCTCTTATATCCTTTCTTTATTACAGAAACAGTAGCATGCTTTTTTGTACTTTGCTTTTTTTCACTTCACAGTATATTTTGGAAATTGCTCCAAATCTGTTTATAGAGATCTCTCTCTCTTTTTTTTCTTTCTTTTTTCTCTCTTTCTTTCTTTCTTTCTTTCTTTCTTTCTTTCTTTCTTCCTTTCTTTCTTTCTTTCTTTCTTTCTTTCTTTCTCTTTCTTTCTTTCTTTCTTTCTTTCTTTCTTTCTTTCTTTCTTTCTTTCAGCTTCATGGTACTTTATTGTGTTTGCTCAGCCTTACATCCTATGTATAGTTATTTAGTTTGTTTCTAAAATTTTGCTATTATAAGCAACACTGCAACTTTGTGCATATGTATTTTCTTATTGTTGGAAGTGTATCTTTAGGGTATGCTTCTAGAAGTGGTCAAAAGTTAAATGAATATGTTGTTTTATCAGTTTTCGCCATATTTTTTTTTTACTGTGCAAATTATTTTTATTTGTAGATAGTCAAATTTATCCATTTTTTGCCTCTGGTTTTTCGTCATTAGTACACTTTATCTTAGCCAAAAGGCCGAGAAGCATTTGGTTTTTTGTCATTAGTGATAAAGTTTTCCCCTATACTAAAGGATAAAGAACTCACCACTTTTTCTTCTAGAACTTGTATGACTTCATTTTGACATATTTGTTTTTTGATACATTTATCTCCCTTATCCATTTGTCATTCATTATGTATTATGTGAGAAATATAGATCTAATTTTTTTGAAATGCCACTAATTGTCCCAGAGGCATTTTTTGAGAAGTCCATCATTACCCCCTGTGATTTAGGATGCTACTTTTATTATATACCAATATTGTATGTACTTGGATTAATTTCTGGACTGTTTTATTCCACTGGTATATTTATTTCTATATGTGCCAGTACTACTGTTTTGTTTTGTTTTTTTAAGATTTAAAAAAAAAATGTTTATATATTTTTAGGGGCACGGGGGTGGCTCACTTGGTTGAGCATCTGACTCTTGATTTCGGCTCAGGTCAAGATCCTAGGGTCGTGGGATCGAGCTCTGCTATGGGCTCTGTGCTGAGCATGGAGCCTGCTTGGGATTTTCTCTCTCTCCCTCAGCCCCTCTCCCCAACTCGTATTCTCTCTCTCTCTCTCTCTCTCTCTCTCAAATAAATAAAATGAAAAAAAAATTTTTTTAAATCTTTAGCTTTGAGAGAGAGAGAGAAACAAGCAGGAGAGGGGGAGGGGCAGGGCGAAAGAGGGAGGGAAGATCTGAAGTCCGGTCCATACTGACAATAGAGAGCCAGATGCTGGGGCCCAAACTCAGGAACTGAACCTCGAGATCATGACCTGAGCCAAAATCAGATGCTCAACCAACTGACCCACGCAGGTGCTCCCAATTATAGAAGCTTTACAGTATCTTTTAATATCCAGTAGGGCTAGGCCCCCCTCCTCATTATATTTCTCTTTTTCAGTGTTTTTTGTTTTTTCCTGGCTGTTTCCTGGCTGTTCTTGCATGTTTATTTTTCCACAGAAATTTTATTATCAACTTATCTAACTCCATAAAATAACTTGTTGGTATTGGAATTGCAGTGGTTTTATAAATTAGGAAGAACTGATGCTGAATCATCCTATCCAACAACAAGGAATGTTTTTCCATTTGTTTTTGCCTACTTTTGTGTCTTCCAGGAGATTTTTAAATTTTTCTTGGTATTAGTTTTGCACATTTCTTACTAAATTTATTCCTGTGTGTTTAGTCTTTTTTGCTGGTATTGCAAATGGAGTTTTCTCCACCATGTGTCCTATTTATTGTTTGTGTATGTTAATTTTATATCCTGCCTTATTACTGAATTCTTTTATTTTTTGAATTAGTTTAATCATTGATTTTCCTGGAGTTTTTCAGGTATACTATCATATCATCTTCAAATAGAGTTGTTTTATTTTTTTCTTTACCCATTCTTAAGCTTTTAATCGATTTCTCTTGTCTAATTCAATTAGCCAATACCTCTAATATAGTGTTGAATAGTAGCAGAGATAGTGGATATCCTTGTCTAGTTCCTTATTTAGTGGAAATTTCTCTGGTGTTTCCTCATTAAATAGAATACAGATTTTAAGATATATGTATATATATTTATATATGGGGATATATATGTGTGTATATATATATATATATGGATTTGTCATGGAGCTCTAGATACTTGGAAAAACCATGGAAATAGAAATTAAGGAAAGGTATCTATCAAGTCTACTCTATGCTCTGTTGGAGTCTAGGGCAACAGCTTGTTCCTTTCAAAAAGCTGGAAGGTTTCATGTTTCAGTTTGGGAATGACAATTAGATATGCCATTACAACAAGTCATTTAAGTCATTTGAATTCACGTAAATTGTCTTTGTGCGTTGTCATGGTCACAAATAAAAATTTATCCTTACGTTTGTCTTTTTATAGTGTGTGCTGTTTTTGTGGAGTTTAAAGATTAATCATCCCAAAACAGTGTTTCTGCTTCGAGGAAATCATGAGTGCAGGCATCTTACAGAATATTTCACCTTCAAACAGGAATGTAAGTATGATCACTTTTCCAGAACCTTTTTGTTTGTTTGTTTTAAGTAAACTCTACCCCTCACAGGCTTGAACTCACAACTCTGAAATCGAAAATCCCATGTTCTACCGACTGAGCTAGCCAGGCGCCCCATAACATTTTTAGTTACCCTTTTGTCAGTCCCAAAATGAATCGCACAGAAACCAAATAAAGAAACTAATGGAACCCAAATGGTTTCTGTTGTTTATTTTCTGATAAGAACCAAGATTCTACCTTTTAAGACATTTATTTTGAAAATATCTTTTGTGGTTTCTCCCTATTATGTAATGTAATACATTTGGGATATTTGGAAAACATAGAAAAGTCCAAAGAAGATAAAAGTTGTCCACAGTCACGCCACTTAAAAATAATAACTATTATCTCACTATTTGAGATATAGTCTTCTTTTCTGCATATATAAAAACCTATCATGAAATAGTTGAAATACATATGTATCTATACATATTTTCAAAAAAATTAGACTATTAAATGTACTGTTTAATAAATTGCTCTTTACATTTTATATAATAACTTTTTCTAATTAAATCATTAAGTACCATTAAATATCTTTGAACATGATTTTAAAATGTTATAATATTTTAAAAGTATTTCATCTTATTGATGCACTATCATATATGTAGCCAATTTAGTAACAGCTGTATGACATTTCTGTTGTTTCCAACTATAAATCATACTGTACTAGTAAAAAAAGCTTATTATTAAGGTAGAATTTTTTTGAAAGGCAAAACATTGCTAAACCATTTGAAAAAAAAAAAACAAAAAAACTGGCACATTTCTTTGACCAGCACTCACAGTTGACTCTTAACATTCAGTGTGATGGTAACTAAATTGGGCTTGTTTGAGAGAACTTGCCCCAGGGCATTTGTGCTTATTGTTTCTTGTCTTCCCAGATAGCTATCTGTTTATATATAAGACCTACATCCTTACTTCATTCTTGTCATCTCCTCAGAGACTTTCTTCCCTGGTTCCTTTTTCTAAATTAAAGATCTCATCATTTTACTCTCATACCTTGTCTTTTTTTTAATGGTATCCATCAACGCCTGAAATTTATATATATATATTTTTATATAAAATTTATATTCAAGGGGCATCTCGGTGGCTCAGTTGGTTAAGTGTCTGACTTCAGCTCAGGTCA